TTTTTTATGACATGATTCATTGGTCTCTATGCCCTAAATATAGCAACTTAGTGGCAGTTTTCCTTGTTTGAATCAAATCGTGCAAAGCTTCTTGACAGCCAGGCTGAGCTATGGAGTGTTTGAACCCAGTTAATTGGTATCCGTGCACTAGATATGGCATGCTCAATTGCTGATAGTGTCATTGTTCCTATATTTTTCCCTTCTCAATACTATCTGTTACTTTGATGGATTATGTTTCAATTTATTGATTTTAGAGTTGCTTTTTTTTTTTAACCCTTATTCTTTTCAATGTTGGTGTTCTCATTTATTTCTTTGCCTTGTGACAATTGCAGATACAAGTTTGTTGTTTCAGCTCCAGAACCAAAGAAAGTTGCATCTCCCTCAATTACAAACATTCAGGTTTTAGTTCAGCCTTTTCGGTAGAGGCAGTGATTTGAACCATTATTAAACTGAAACATATTTTAATAATACATGGTTGATGCTCTTGACTCTGGTTTCTTATGCTTGAGTGTGAAAAGTATTTTAGACCTATTATAGCTTTAGAATCTAAAAAGCTTTCAGACATCTGTTAGAGAGCTTCTTATTATTCTGATTTGGCTTGATTTTGGATAGATAATTAGGGGCATGGTATTGTCAGAAATGCTACTTATTTCACCAACCTCTCTCTACAAACATTCAATAAAACTCCCCTTTCTTTTATCTTTAACCTAGCTATTGGGAAAAACCTGAATCACTATTTTAACCACTGTTCTGTATCAATGGTATCGCTGCAGGGATGGTTGGCAGGAAAGAAGACTGATGATGACGCTAGTCAATTACCCACCATTGCTATAGTGGCATCGTATGACACTTTTGGGGCTGCTCCTGTATGTACTTTTTTTTCTTCTTCTTTTTCTGGTAATTTATATGCATTTTTTCTTGTTGCACCTATAGGTATAATATCACTTGGTGTGTTATTCATGTACGCGTTAAAAATATCTGTAACTGTAGGCATTGTCAGTGGGAAGTGATAGTAATGGAAGTGGTGTTGTGGCTCTCCTCGAAGTAGCCAGGTTGCTTTCTCTCCTCTATTCTAATCCAAAGACAAGAGGACATTACAATGTACTCTTTGGACTGATGTCTGGCGGGCCATACAACTACAATGGAACTCGTAAGGTGATAGATTCTGTTTGTAAATTCACTTTTTGGTGACAGATTTTGTCACATTTTAGCTAGTCTTTCCTGTTTAATTTCATATTGTGTAACTTTGAATCCGCTTGTTCCAGTGGCTTCGCAGCTTCGATCAACGTATGCGTGAAAGCATTGACTATGCTATCTGCTTGAATAGTATTGGTTCATGGGAAAATGATTTGTGGATTCATGTGTCTAAGCCACCAGAAAATGTCTACATAAAGCAAATTTTCGACGTTAGTAAATTGTCACATCAGAGTAGGTAGCTATACAGAAATGCATTGACGTGCAATTTATGTTTTGATGTTTTTTTGTTGGATTTCGTGCAGGATTTTTCTATCGTGGCAGAAGAGTTGGGCTTTACTGTTAATTTGAAGCACAAGAAAATAAATATTTCGAATCCTCGAGTAAGTGCTGAACCTTACAGATCCGTTCAACTAGTAGAGTCTATAATCATTTTTTATTCAGCCTTTCTTTTGTATTCAACTTCATTATAGATGCCATATTAGACACTCACTTCCTTATCCACCCTCCTTAATCTCAACAATCTGAACATTTGTGCATAGCTCCATATGCCTTTGTCTGTTTTAATTAGCATCTGAGCAAGGTGCTGGGGAGGCTCTCTCTCTCTCTCACGTATCTTCTCCATGCTTCTTTTATTAGTTCCTTTTTTACTTGGTTCTTGAAAGGAATATGTTAATGACTTTTAGTCCATCTGCTATTACCTACTACTTATTTGTCTTTGCCTTTAGGAATAAAAATTTTCTCTCTTGATATCTCATAAAAGTATTCACTATTCTGCTACCAGTGCGTTCTTCCTTTTACTGTTTTGAAGTTGGTTACCAAGCTACTTGCTGTAGGTAGCTTGGGAGCATGAACAATTTTCTAGGCTGAGAGTTACTGCTGCCACCCTCTCTGAACTCTCCACTGCACCTGACTTGCTAGAAAGGACTGGGGGCCTTGTTGACAGCAGGTTCATCTTTTGACCTAAAACCCAGATTATTTTTCCTCACATAGCATTTTTCTGAGAGCTTGATTCTGCAGGCCTTTTGTCAATGAAACAGCAGTTGTCAGAAGTGTGAAGTTAATTGCTGAGAGTCTTGCGGTAGGATTAATTTATTTACGTTGCATAGTGATCGTAGGAACATTGTAAGAACAGATTGGCAACATTTCTTGTAAATTCTTTCTTTCTATCACTTAATGGGAGTTCGGACTTTGAGGGAGTGGTCTGACATTTGGCATGTGCATTAATTTTATGTTTAGCACCAAAAGCTATTAAGAGTCTTATCCCCAACAAATACATACATTTCTTGGAATGACAAGATTGATGCTTGTAAGATGTAGCATTGATTATTTTGCATCTTTATGTTGTGAAGCCTCACTGTTTCTTAACAATCATCTGCTCCTCTTTCTGCAGAGACATATCTACAGACATGAAGGAAAGAATATTCGGGTATTTGCAGACAACAGTAGTTTGGCTGTAAATCCTTCTTATATTCGATCCTGGTTAAATGTGTTGTCCCAAACACCTCGGGTTGCACCATTTCTGCCAAAAGACGATCCTTTTGTCGCAGCACTGAAAAAGGTATTGTTCTTGTATGTTTTACTGATAGGCCAGCTGAGAGTAAGTTTGCGCTGACTTGGGATGTTTATGTTATGGCTTGGTTTTTGGTTGATTAGGGACTGGATGTGCTGTGCCAATGGGCTTAGTGCTAATAACTAATGTTGTGTAGTGTTTTGGGGGGAATATTATTTTTTTTGAAGAAAAAAGTTAGTGAAGGGTGATAACTCCCCAATTCCCTTAAAACTTAGAGTTGACAATAAAGCATCCCTTGTTTTACCACCTTTTTCTACTAACCCAGGCGATATACTTGTTTCCAGGAATTAGAAGATCACACTGACCAGGTTGATCTGCATCGGGATGTGCTAGATGGGATGTTCACTTTCTATGATTCAACTAGGGCAATGCTTAATGTATATCAGGTATTTGAAGTTCACTTTGAAACATTTAAAAGTTGTCTCTCCCTTTTTTAAGTGGCTGAAGAGAACTTAATAAACGGATCTTTGTGGATAGAGTGGATAGATCACTGATTTAGATATTTTCAATCTTCTTCTTGATTGTTGTCTTTGCTCCCCCCCCCCCCCGGGGGGGGGGTTTTTTGGTGCAACATTTTTCCCAGGTTTTTGACCTGCCTGGCTTCCCTTCCCTCCAATTACATATTTTCCTAGTTAAGAGAGAGGATTTCAACATATAACAAAAAGGCGTGAGCTTTTTTGTTTTATGACATGTTGTATACCCTTAGCTTGGGAAATAATCAAATTATTTGATTTTACAGGTCGCCAGTGTCACATTTGACCTTCTGTTGCTGTTAGTATTGGGGTCGTATTTAATTTTGCTCTTCAGTTTCTTGGTCATCACAACTAGGGTATCCCTCTGTTTCTTACTTAACATCAGTTTGCAAAAATTTTATGCACAGCGTAGTTTGGGTACTCATTGTTGGTGATGCTGTTAATCAGGGCCTTGATGATCTAATCAGCTTATTTCGACGGCCTCCCTCACGAAAAGTGAAGACTGCATAGTAATAAATAGGTAGGCTTTTGCGTCAAGGTTTGCCCGTGTATTGCGATCTCCGGTAGAAGAACTTTAGGATGAGTCTATAATGAAACTGCGTAACGTTGATTGGTTTTAGAGGTTGAGAACGGCAAGATGTTTGATTTGTGTGCTGCTAAAAATGAGGACGCTGGGGCTCAAGTAAAATTTCGATGTTTATTTTGAAAATCTTATTTGCTGCGTTTTGGCAGAGCAAGGGATAAATGTAAGTGGCAGCGTGATGAAATGGAATTTAGCAGCATCTCATTTTTTCAAAGAATGAGACGTTGGCTGGAATAAACCTCGTCGGAATTCCAGTTGCAATGGTCAATGCTAGTTGTGAAAAATAAGATTGGAAAGCATTTGATGGTTTTTCATGTTTTAGCATTTGTCAGGTGGCATATACTGTTAGAATATATTTGAATAGCGACTAGGTTTTCCTGTTCCTTATTCATCAAATCTCGTGTCAGTAATTTTAGTTGAATCTTCGGTAAGATCAGTTTTGAACTCCGATTGTTGCCGACCCGTGTCTCCGAGCGTGTCAGGTATGGTTATAACTATAAACGTGATATAACTATAACCATCCAAAATATTCCCCTCTACATGACTCCCAAGTAAATTATTTTTAAAAGCTTGTTTTCGTATTTTATCTGACTGGGCAACTTCGATAAAAGCAATTTCAATATATTAAATATAGTCTTAATAGAATTCAAATATTTAAAAGATAAAAACAATTTTAAGGTTATTTTCTATTTTCTTAATTGCAAAAGGGGACATTAAGAGGAAATTCAAATTCAGATCAATTGTCCTAGCTGTGGTTTGATATTTCAAGTTTCAAATGGAAATCGGTAAGATATGAATCACAATATTCCTCTTGCTGGCGAGATGGTGGATGCGACAAAGGCATGATTACCAAGTGACATGGTTGGAAGCCGATCTAGTCGATAATGGGTCATAAATACACCAGGGATCAACGTATATTCTGATTGACTAAAGTTCCGCATTATAGAGATAGGCCTTTATCGAATGACTTGTCGGAATCATAAAAATCTTAAACACAACATACAAACCAAATGAGGCTCAACACCGCTTCACAATTGCCCATAAATATGCTCAGGGAAGAAGTTTCAATCCAGCGATACACGTGGAGCCTGTTCTCTATTTGTTTAAACTTTGGGCCTAGTCATTTTCTTGTATGAGGCGCGATACATTCGACGTGAAAGTTTATTTTGCGTTAAAATTCAACCCATAAGCTTTTGATATATGTATATATACTCTTGTAATCTTTTTGATACAATACGCCACGTCGGTCTCATAAAAATATGGCGACATTTCAAAAAACTAGCGAGAGCCGGATGGCCATCACCAGCTTGTACAACCAATGTTACATATTGGGATACTTTACTGAAAAGCTTATACATAATGATCAAGACCTGGCCTAAAAATAACAGTAAATGTGAAGTACCATAAACAATGCCTCTAGCAAGTTGATGACTTGACAGCTCTTGAAAGTCATGATTGGTGAGCATTCAGCAGCGCTCTATAGACCATATCAATGAATTGATTGTCCTAGAAGTAGCACACAGCAAAGTTAGAACACGAGAATGGGCAAGAAAAAAGGACAACACACAACCTTATTAACCATATAACATAAAAGATTATGATTGACTCAGTATACTATTTGCTTGTAAATGGTATTATAGGAAGAATATCAAACAGTACTAAGCAACCAGGCTAACCTGAACAAGCACTAGAAGTGCATCTCGGACCTTTTCCCTGGTAATCACCGGACCATAGTTCGGAGGAGGAGCAGAAGCAGGAGTAAGAGATGGCGGAGGATTTGGAGGTGGAAATGGTTGTAGCAGGGGAGTACCAAGTGGGCGTTGTATGCTAACAGCAGAATGAAGTGGGGGGGCTGCTGGAGTGGATGAAGGAGTAGAAGGGGCCATCAATGTTGAAGATGAAGGGGGAGGAACAAAAAAGGAAGACGGCTTCACAAGATTTGTGGCTAGGTTGTTGCTGCCACCAGCTTCAGGAGTGGTGTGGAGGGGCATTAGAGGTGTAGCTGCTGATAGAGCAGGTATCTGCAAGGACAGCAAGGTTGGCACAGTGGGTGTAGCAGCATTTGTTGGCACGGAAAGAGAAGGAATCGGATGAGAAGACTGGTAAGGTTGTCCAGTGATTGGAGCACTGGTGGAATTCCCAATGGTCATAGCTGTCTGCAACATTATTAGAGAAAAAACTTACCCTGATCAGAACTAAGTTCCAAATGTTCAGTTTAGAATTAGAAACTCTGTTAACATCACAAAATATAACGTTTACACATGAGAAGGGCCATATATAGCAATTGAGTCCATTTCTGGTAAAATACAACTTCATTATAAAATATTATCTCAGAAATAGATAAATAGGTTCACAGGATACATCAGTACAAATTTAAACAAGAAATTTTTTGGCAAAGCACAATATAATGCGTCCTTTTCCAGCATTATGAATTATTACTACCACCATATTCAAGCATCCAGTACTCCAGTTCAGGAAACTTTTCAAAAAAGTCTCCAAAGATAAAAAAACTCAGGAAAAATGGAAAACCAACAAGTTTAGGGTTAGATCTAAGAAAGTATAAGACTATAAAATCTGTTGGAAATAATCCTAGAACATATAACAAGGCTAGGTTGGATATAAATCTATTACAAGACCTGAAGAAGAAAGGACACTCCAGTGTCAGGGAAAAACAAAGGAGCAAAACCAAGTTAAGCAACAAAGCAAATAAAAATTCCACTCTGCAAGTAACTCAGACTCACAGCATGTCCAATGAAAGAAAGGTTAGAAAAGATACATCCATCACAAATATCAGAAGCAAATAATTTTGTTTCTATGTTACATACACTGAAGAAGTTCACAAAGGAAGGATCATCAGGAACATCAACCAGATTTGAATTAGATGATGATGATGGCTCCAGAGGACCGTCCATAACTGCCATAGTTGGCACTGCCTCCAGCTCCTCAAACTCACTGCGAGTAAATAAAAGCAAAGGCTTACTTCTTAAAGTCTAATATAAGACAATGTAGCCAAGCTGTCAACTGCAATGATAACCTACCACTGACACAAAAAAGTGGAGAGAGATGAAATATGTATGACTGAAATAACAGAACTTATACACTTCCCCCGATTAAAGATAAGACCTGACAATAAAGATGCAACTGAGCAGTAACTTGAATAATTATTTTCAGTTGCATCACAAGCATTAATCCCACATCAAAGTGCAAGCTTCACCCAATTATCATTAATCAGATAAAAGCACACTTGTATCATATATATTCAGACACGTACATTTTTCAATCACAAATAGGGGGGAAAGTGTAGTTAAGTTGCACAGGTGCAGGGGTGGAGAAATCATATAGACAATTCAATTCAGTATGGTTACTATGGTTACACAATAATAGGGCTATGGTCAATGTGGTTGCACAGTCAGTAACTTCAACAGAATATTAGGGCTATGGTTACACAATCAGTATCACACCAGAACCCACCCTGTATTATATTGCATATGATATTCTCAAGAGCCTGGATATAAGCACGGTGTAATGAAAGAATTCTATGGGAAAGAATAAGGAAAATAGAATACCGTAAATCAACCCACATCAACCTTCCTTGAGGATGGATTGGGAAGAAGAAAGGTTATAATTAAACGAACCGTAAAAGGAAGAGTATTATTACCTCTTTGTTGAAGACACCTTTGACTTTTGAGGCACCTTGGAGTAGGCATTAAGGATCCTGAAAATCAACTGGACACAGCTGAATATATGGTCGGGCGTGATGAGTTTGTGACAATATTCAATGGACAATTTTGCCAATTCCAAATAATTCTAAATCGATGGTGACATAGGCATCAAATGCCAACAAACTAGTAACTATTCTGAGCCCCAAACCCCAACCCCACCCCCACCCCCAAAAAAAGTATAAAATTGAAATTAAAGCATATCACTCAGTTCTGCTTTGGTATAAAAACCATACATCCAACCAACAATGGGGTGAAGGGAGAGATTATAGATTTGAAAATAGGCACCTCTCAAGTAGCACAAATGGTTCGACTCATCACATTTACATGACCTTAATATGGGGGCATGGATGTACGGAAGAATAATGAAGACAGTCTGAAAAGTAACCAACTGACTATTCAAACATCACATAGAAAGTGCGTGCCAGAAAGCAGGGGCTCGCAAAATTGCATCCGCACCTGTTAAAAAGATTTGCAACCTCTTCACATTCACGTGCATTATAGAACCAGATGCCATTTACTTCTTGAGCAGCGTTCCTATAAAGCAGATATGGAATCTGAACTTCATACTCGAAATCTCCGAGGAGATTCTCCACCAAATTTTCTGCTTATGCCAACACAATTTTATGCTAGTTCAAACAAAGACAAGACTCAAATGCGAGCTACGCAAACGGACACTAGGAATTTCCTTTCCCCATGTCTAGCAGCAACATGATATGCAATTTGTTATTGAAGGAAGTTATAGAAGGCATATTTGGTGTTCATATATTCACTAATTTGCTATACTCACAATATTGATTAGAGTGTAAGAAGCCAGCCGTGGAGTGCCAATAGCCAATACCTAAGCCCCAATCCTAAAATTTTAAGGCAGAAGCACACCTAATAACTACAAAAATATTATATTATACACAAGAAAATATTAAACATACAGTATACTAAATATAAGACAAGAATCTGTTTGGAAATAATTTTCATGCGCAGGAGAGCTGAGCAAACATCACTGCCACATGAACTTTAATAGTGAATCCACCGGAAGGAAGACTTGGAAGCAAACAGCAGAGTAAGTGTAGGCCATCCCCACAATCCATTTATCTTTAAGAGAAAGGTTTCATAAATCCATATTATTATTAAGACAAGTCATGAACCAGGCTGAATTTCCATAAGCCACAAAAATTTATAATTTTAGATTCTCAAAAATGAATAACTGACCAACTGACGGCAATAAACAAAAGGGAGGTGGACGTACTAACCAGTATTGCGACGATTCATCACTATAAACTGAAATCGCGGCTGAGTATTCCTGAAGCAAGATAGAGCAATAAAATCAGGCATGATTAACATCAGCTGATGAATAGAAACCTAAGAAAATCCAACATAAAAGCCCCGTGCTTCCCAAACATAAATTCATTCTAAACTTATTGATCGTTGAGCCTATGAACCGTTTGATCCATGGTAAACGTAACAGACCTACTATTCGATTTATTTCACACCAATTACATTTGTATATCCTTAAGCACATGGATTTCAACACCAACACTTCAACAGATTCCTAACTAACCATAAATTCACTTGTGACATCGTTGGATACAATATAAAAAGAAACTAACCTCTTAACAACAAAAAGAGATCCCTCAACGTCCTTGCGGCTCTGCAAACCAGTCATACATAAAGCAGAGAGAAAAGTGAGAAAGCAATCAAAAAAGGGTAAAGCAGAAAATGAAGAGATAATGGATGGCGAACCCATTGGCTGTGGTCGATGTTGAACTCGTAGAAGGTGACATGAGCAGCAGTGAAGAGAATTTCCTCGACGAAGGGATCGATTCGCTGCAGAACAGTAAGGTTGAGATGCTTGGTGCTCTGCTGGTCCAGATTGGGCATCAGCTTGCCGTTCTGAGACATCGCGGATGGTATCTGCAACGCAAACCCTAGAATTTGGGGCCAATGTTAAACGAAAGAGAGAGTGACGGGTAGCGCAGGCTGGGGAACGAATTTGGGCGCTTATCGTCGAAGGAAACCTTCAGTCAATGACGAAAACAACCTCGTAACCGAGGTTTGTTGTGTTTCACTGTTTTGTGTAAGGTCATGAATATATATTATATATTATATTTGCCCATCCAGGCTATGGTTTGCTGGTTAGAGCTTGATGGCTTCCCCGTGCAAATCACAGGTTGGACTCGGCATGCTTGCTACTAATTTGTTTTTGGACCGAAGGCGGGCTTGCAACTTACTTTCAACTAGTGATCTCAGTCAGAAAATAGTTTTTATATTTTATTAAAAACAAAAAATGTTATTAAAATAGAAATTGAGAGGAGCAGAGAAGAGAGAAAACTATACTAAGAGAATAAGAGAATAGAGAGCTTTTTTATTTTCGGTGTATCGAATATAATTAAGGTGTCTGCTATTTATAGGCACAATTATATCAATTAAAGTGAATAAAATATACAAGATAATAAGTGAAATATATTATAGTAACTGAAAAATATTAGAGAATCTAAAATAATAGACATTTACATAATATTCTAATATTTATAACACTTTTCCTTAAATATTCAAATGTTGTGCCTCATTAAAACTTTACTAAGAAAAACACAATGGCACAAAAACTTAGTAAAGAAAAAAGAGTATACAGTATCATCATATTTATTGAAGCTGCCTTAATAAAAACCTTATCAAGAAAATTCAGTGGGACAAAACTTTGGTTAAAAATAAAAGAGTACAGCATAACTTTCACTCTCCTTGATGATGATATCACTCCTTGTTCTTAAGTTTTCTTGAGTCGTTGTATCCTAACTTGTGTATCAATTTCTTGAATATTATTATTAGTAATGCCTTTAAATCTGTGAGTTGATATGGTGTTACAGCTAGACTATATATGTATATTTTGAACTATTTTCTTTAAACATATTTTCTGGATATGAACACATTCTTTGCTTGTGGTATATCTTGTGAGGGTAAAAAATATTTTCATAAATAAATAATCTTTCAAAAGTCAACTTGTATATTTCAAAATAGACATGTATAACACATGCATAATCAATTAATTTTAATCCCAAATAAGTTGAGTAAATCAACTACAAATAATAATTCCACAAGCATATCATATCAAATAGATATCTTTATCGCAAATCAAGGCCATATCATAAATTGTGATGTGAAAGCATTCATATATAATGCTTCAGGACCATATTTCATCATCCTTTTGGAGAAAAATGATCTTGATTTTCAATCTAATCACCTGCTATTTTAACATATTTCTCTAACAATCAAGTTTCATGTATACTCTTTAGGATGTTCAATAATGCTCAATTAATCAAATTTAATGCAAATCAATATGTATACAATTATACGAACAAATATAATGAACGAGAAATTCTCCCAAAAAACTCTACAAGCTTTTGTCATCTTGAGTTCTTCTGAAATTTTCAAGTAAATGTCGTTGTATAGAGAGCCATATAAGCAATCTATCATTTAGTAGATGAATATCAGATTTCTATACTACTAAGGCAATAACATATCACAAATCATTTCATCCACCACATAATATATTAATGCATATTTTGAATCTTTGTAAGATATTCTTATATTGAAAGTCAAGCTTTGCATGTGACATTTCATATTTTTCTTTTTACATAAATGCTCGTGTATAATATCATACTTCAGGTGCTTGAACTATCAGTTCACAACTTTCATGTCATAAATAAGTGAATGTAATTTTATTTGTATTGTGTTCTTTTTTTCCTATCAAGATCCTCATTTGATAGTAATATTTTATTTTCATTAAAAATGTTGTTGACAACTTTTATCTTTTTGGTTCCATCATTTCTCATATTAACATTATTTCTCAATATCTCTTTATTATTAGCAGGTACCTAATCCTCTTCTAGAGACTTAAAATTAATTATGTCTTGGCTTCTTTTAGAATGATAGCCTCCTTAATATGATCATCTTACTTATCTATTCCTTTTTTTTTATAATATTTTCCTTCTTTTTAAACCGATTAGCCTTCCACGCTTCAAGCGTGGTTTTTTTATTTGTTATTATTAGCTGGAGCATGAATTAAAAAGTTATTCTTTATATCAATATTTACATATTTGGAAATTATTTTATTTCATAAATGCAATGTTATATGAAATTTTGTTTCATATACGAGAATCTATATAATATATCAATAATGCATTCATGTATTTTCATTTCCAACTTTTCATCATCTTCCCCTCTTTTTAGGATCACAAACCATATAGTATAAGCCTTTTAAATTCATTTGTTTTTTATAGAAACAAACAAGAAGAAGAATATTAACCAACATTTATTCCCAACTTTATTGCGTGTTCACAAGATGAATGCTTGTAGCGCAAATTGAATTCATAAATTGTGCCACACATCACAACTTAATTAAATTCCATTGAACCATAAAAACTTTGGCATTATTCTCAACTTTCTTTTTGAAAGTATATTTCATATACAGTGGTGGAGCCTTCATCATAAAGACTCAGTCTTTAGCTCTTGACAAAAGGTCAAATTATGGTAGGGGTATTCACAATACTTTATTAGCTTACTGTAATTGCAAACTTGCATATTTAAATGAAAAATCTTGTTGTTACAAATTTTGGTCTAATTATTTTATTGGAGGCATAAATAATCTTTGATAGACTATTCTAATGAATAGACTTTTCTTCATCTCATAATCATTGAGAGTCTAGGATATGAAACCACTAGCATTTTCTAAGTGATTCATCCTGATCACCATATTAACAATTGTGCACATAATAGTTCTTTCTTTTTTACAAACTCTTGGTTGTAAATTGATACATGTGTATAACCATCTTATAAATGCATCTATCAATCTCATTAGACATTTGCATGATTCACATGGTATCTAAATGGGCTCATTTTCACTCAATATATTCATAAATATCTGTGATCCAATTTTAATTATTGTCAGTGATAGTATCATAATTTTTCTTAAGCAACATATGAGAATTCTTGAAGTATGTAATGTATTAGCTATTCAGGAAGAATCTTCTAGTTGTGAATTCTCAATAATTCTTGCATTGATATTGATCCAAGATGATCTAACCGGTCATACCAAATAATATTAATATAATTCTAGTATACCAAACCAAAGTAATAGTAAACCTTCAGTTTACTAAGAATTGTAAACTTCTAGTTACAATCTTAATATGATATCTAATATCAAAAAAATCTTTAATAACTCATTTAAAACTTATGTAGATAACATGTCACCGATGAATTTTGATTCATATGCATAAGAAATCTTTAAAAAACACTACCAATTTTGTATAACCAGATATACATAAACAATAATGCTATTTAAAATAAAGGATTATTAATCATCTTATTTACATATTATGCAAAGAAATTTTTTTTATATTAAGTTCTATATGAAACAAAACAAGAATAGTTCTAAGTTTATAATTTTCTATAAAGACCTTAAAACTCTTGCTATTTCATTTTAGCATTTACAATCAATCGACATTGTAGTGCTAATATTTTCAATAATTAAGATGATCTCAAATATTTCACTCCTTATATATTGATCATAATTATCTAATCAGATCTAATATCATCATTGGATATAAAGATATCATATATTATTATTTTAATTAGAAGTAAATAAGTTAACTATTAAAACTTTGAAAAAAATTATATGTACTTGTATCTAGAAAGTCTTTTTAAGGAAATATTATTTTCATCAAAAATTCCTTCAGAATTGATATCCAAGAACTCTTAAAATGATTTAGAAACTTTTTTAAAAGTAACTCACTCAACAAAGTAATCTATAAGAATTCAACAAAGTAACCTATAAGAATTATTTACATATAATTACTTTTATATATTTATGATTTTCATTGCTTTACTTATTGTATGACTTGCACACTTCTAATCAGTACTTTTATTTCAATCCTAAATATGATATATATCTCAATTATGATTATCAACACATGCATGTAGAGTTTAATATGAAACTTTATCATTAATAAAAATGCATCATGTATACCATATCTTGAACACATATGTATATGTAAGAGTTATCAAATATATCTTCATATACCTTGAGAAAAACAATTTTAATATCAAATATGCATTAAAATTTGCAATGTGCATATACATAGAAGGAGGAAAACAACTTACTCATTCTTATAAGTATTTATAGATAAACGCTTGGATCAATATGTAAACACAATAATAATTGAATATTTGATTGTAACACTTTATGAACATATTTCTTTAAACTAACATAATCATCCTTTAACATTTTTCTCTAGTTCAGTAAATGATATATAATGTGTCTATATGGCTACAAGCCATATTTTTTTGTAACATAAACTCTATTGACTATAATCTTTAAGATTATAAAAAAATAATCTCTTAAACCCAACAATTCTTTTGAACTATTAGCCTTCAAGGCCGTGATAGTTAAAACAAATGAATTAATAATCAATATACCCATCAAAATTCCATGAAGTTTATATAATTCATTAGGATTATAAGATTATTCTTTTACATAGTAGTCATAATAAAAATTGAGAGGACTTTTGGTTATATAATAACAAAATCAACTATTGCTTCTGGTCATATAATCACAAATAAATCAAATATGACTTCTGGCCATTTAATAGTAAAATCACATATGACTTTCGATGATCTAATGACAAAATTACAAATGGCTTCTAATCATTTAATAATAAAGTTAAATATAACTTCTGATTATATGATAACAAAATCAAATATGACTTCTAACTATATAATAACAAAATTAAATATGACTTCTAGTCATATAATTTATCATGACCATAAAACGATCGTTTTTAAAATAATAAAGATTTAAAGTGATATGGCTTCAGGCCATAATCAAAGTAATATGGCTATCAATAATTTTATTGTAAGAGTATTAAAAAAAACCAAATAAGAGAAAATAAAAACTATATATATATATATATATATATATTTAAATATAGATAACTTCATGATCTACTTTATATTTTTGAACAACTTCAAGGTCCACTTAAATTTTGTGAATATCTTCAAGATTCACTTCATATTTTATGTGAATAACTTTGAGATTCACTTTATATTTTA